AAGCGGCGCCTTCCATGGACCAGTCTGAGCCAGGAGAGTGCCCCGGCCATTGGACTTGAGGTCATGATCCAGTGCTACTGACTTTGGTGGAGCCATCCCATCGGGCAACTCCTAGCCTCTAAGCGCATAAAGGCTTGTCCTGGCCTGCCTTGGCCAAGACGCCACACGGGTTTCTTCCGCTGTAGAACTACCCCCGTGACATTAGGGCAGTTGACAGAAAGTTGGAGTTTAATGTGTATGTGCATGAGAGCAGCTAGTTTGTGGACAATTTGGGAAGAAAGGGATGCAAGAATTTTCCAAGAAAAGAAAAGAAGCCTGGCTGAGGTCAAGGAGTTGTTTAGGGCTAAAAATATATAATGTAAAAAAAAAATAAATAAGGCTTGAGGGGCCAGATTTGACAGCTGGCCCACTTCACATAAATTAAACTTATTCTGGTTATGGGGGGAGTTAAGCAACAACCCCACGTATGAAGAGTGGGGTGGTTGCTCTAACTTTCCTACCCCATAACTGTCTCCTCTATATAAGGGGGAGAGGAGAAGAAAATTGGGCGGCAGATAGAGAGAAGGGAGAAGAGAACGAGATAAGAAAGAAAGAGAAAAAAGAGAGAAGAGAGAGGAAGAGAAGAAATAGAGGAGATTTGAAGTTCGGCTGATGATGTGTAAGGATAGGCTTACACAGGTATAAATCTTTCTATCTCTTTAAAATTTTATCTATTTCAATCCTTATCTTCTCTCTCTCTCTCTAGAGTTCTGTTAGAACTCAAAAGCTTATTCAAATTATATATATGTATATCCGGTGGATTCTATCCACCACAAAAGAAATGTTAAAACAGATAAATAAAAAAAAATTAAACACTTGGGAATCACTGTCATGTTCGGTTACAACAGATTATAAGTAAAACTAGTACTCGGGACCCACTGTTTGGTTTGGTGGATTTTATCGACCTCAGAAGAGCAGAACTTTCAGTGGACTGCCCAGTATTACAGCAGATAAAAACAAAAGAAGGAAAACAAAAAGTCATGCTTGGGGCTCACTGTGATTAATGGGTTGTCAAGTATTTCAACAAATGTATTGACATCTGTAAACAAAAACAAATTAAAGTCAATATGTAGCATAATATATTCAGTGGGTCTCATCCACCTCAAAAGGATATACTCTACTGTTATGACAGATACATAATTCTGTTTTGATGGGTCCCACTCATAATTGGGGGACCCATTGTCACATTTGGTGGATCTTATCCACCTCAAAAGATGGTCGACAATGGACCATCTATTGTCATAACAGGTTTTAGATAACATGATTTAGTGGGGTCCCATTCAGCATAGTAGGTCCCACTACCAAATTAGCAGTGGGTCTCACCTATAAGTGGGACCACTGTGGATTTTTTTTACTTCAGAATATCAAAGTGGGCCACACCTACTATCAAACCAGCCTAGTGTGTCCCACCTGTCAGCGGGGCCCACCGTTAAAATATTCAGTATAAAAACATTAAAGAGGGCCACACCCACTATCAAACCAACCTTGTGGGTCCCACCTGTCAGCGGGCTCCACTGTTAAAATACTCAAGTTTAAAACATTAAAGTGGGCCATGCCCACTATCAAATCAACTTAATGGGTCCCACCTATCAGCGGGGCCCACTGTTAAAATATTTAAGTTTAAAACATTAATGTGGGCCACATCCACTATCAAATCAACCTAGTGGATCCCACCTGTCAGCGGNACATTAATGTGGGCCACATCCACTATCAAATCAACCTAGTGGATCCCACCTGTCAGCGGGGCCCACTGTTAAAATATTTAAGTTTAAAACATTAAAGTGGGTTATGCCCACTGTTAAATCAACCTAGTGGCTCCCACCTGTCAGTGAGGCCCAAATATTCAGTATAAAACATTAAAGTGGGCTACGCCCACTATCAAATCAACCTAGTGGGTCCCACTCGTCAGCAGGGCCCACTGTTAAAATATTCTAGTCTAAAATGTCAAAGTGGGCCATATCCCACTATTAAGTCATCATAGTGGCCCACTATTAAAATATTCAAGTTTAAAACATTAAAGTGGGTCCCACCCATTCAGCGGAGCCCACTATTAAAAATACTCAAGTTTAAAATATTAAGGTGGGCCATACTCACTATCAAGTCATCATAGTGGGTCCCACCCATCAGTGGGCCCATTGTTAAAATAATTAAATTTAAAATATCAAAGTGGGTCATGTCCACTATCAAATAGTGGGTCCCATTTAGTGGAGCCCACTGTTAAAATATTAAAGGTGCTCAATTGTGTGTGGGTCCTGTGACCTATCTACCAATTGTGGGGACAACTCATGGGTATAACCCACTAAGAATCCAAGCTGCTGGGACTGCTTATACCTGCTATTGGGTTTAATCCTTATAAAGTAGCTCTTTCATATAAAATCAAAATCAAAGGGTATTTCCTCTAAGGAATATAATTAATGGGTTTTAGCAGACATAGTGCATACTTATACACCCTGAATAGGGAAACCCTAATTCTACTCAAGTTCTTTTTTTGTGAATTATGATCAAAACAGGAGTGTATCATGACAAGAACAATATTTTGCCTGAACGGAAATCTCCCCCGGAAGGTGTGGTAAAAATGAATTTTGACAGAAGTAGTCAAGGTAATCCAGGGCCCTTGGGTATAGGAGGGATGCTGAGAAATAAGGATAGCAACATAATATCATCCTCAGGACCAGTGGGAATTGGTGACTCTACAAGGGCTGATAGTTGCTAGCCAGCTTGGAGTGGAGAACCTGATAGTTGAAGGGGACTCCGAGGTGGCGAGGGCTGGCAGTCAAACCCAGAAGCTGCACACTGGTGTTACTGGGATCTTCTGAAGAAAGTTCATCGGCTTACAAGGAATATGTCAGTTAGTTTTCAGTGGGTCAGCAGATCGGCAAATGCCATGGCTGACTCTTTGGCTAAACAAGGGGTATCAAGGGGTGATCTGTTCTGGGCTACCTTATAATTGTAATTCAGGACAGAGTGTGTACTTAACTGCTTAGCTCTAAGGGGAGGTAGCATCTTGTGCCTCCTTTTAGGCTGATGGTACACCTTTTTTATTTTCTGATTAATAAAATACCACAAATTTATCAAATAAAAGCTTCCCCTTTAAGAAGGTTTAGTGCTCTCAAATTCCTCCTAGAGTTTCTTTTTTTTTTTTTTTCGTGTGGAAGGCTTGTTTTTAGAAAATAAACACTTGTGACCTCTAGAAAAAGAACGAAGGAAGGTTGTACATTTCCCCACATGTCAGCTCCCTACCCTATGCCTTAGTAGTGGTGAATCTGCTGAACATCTCCTTCTTCAATGTTCAGAGACAATTAAGATCTGGATCCACTTATTCTTGTAGTTGGGCTTCTCCCAAGCTCATTGAGGAGTTTATTTGGCAATGGCAAGGTAGAGATCGTAAAAGGGGGAAAACCTATTGGTCTATGGTGGCTCAAGCAGTGGTGTGGGGTGTGTGGGAAGAAAGAAACAATCAAATTTTTGAAAACAAATCTAGATCTCTTAGTGATTTGATCTCTCACACGACTTTTATGTGCAATCTTTGGGTCCTGAGATCTTTGGAGTTTATAGGAGTTTCTTTGAATGAGCTTCAGCTGAATGTGGTGGCAATCTTGTCTCCCTTCCCTAGTCACTCAAGAGTTCTTAACTTCTGCATTGAAAGGGAAGAGGAAGAGGACCGTAAACTTCTATGGATGTGCTCTGGGAAATCCTGGGATATGTGGTATTGGTGGTGTGTTTAGAGAAAGGAATGGTAACATTTGGTGGGCTTTCAGTGGTCCTATTGTGAATGCTGACTCCACTAGGGCTGAGGTCCTAGCTGTGCTTACAGGGCTCCAAATAGCAAGAGAAAAAAGGTTGACTGCTCTAGTCATCAAAGGAGATTCTGTTAACACTATGAAGCGTCTTGGGGAAAGGGACAATGGAGACCGTCTCACTTTCTGAGTGAGGCTAGAGATCATCAGGATTCTTTGACTGTTAAACTGCTCTGGATTCCTAGGATGCTGAACTCTACAGCAGACAAACTAGCCAATTCTGGTGCTCTTGGGGATGCATTATTTCATAACAGAACTCTACCTTTGTAATTCCTGAGTTGTTTCTTGTACTACGTCATCTCATGTACTTTTTTTTTTTTAGATTTTAATACAATTAGTTAACTTTCTCTCAACAAAAGGGACTAAAATATTGGTGGTCTGGATGTGAGGCCAAGGAAAGAATCACTGTATCAACATCATATAGTAAAGATATATCATACCTTTATGGTGTTATTTCAACTCTGAAGCAATCCTTGCCCAGTACTTCAATACATTCTTATGTTTCTCAATTTTACTAGTATTCTGTTTTGCTGGAGGAAATCTGTTCTTTTTTTTTCATACTTCTAATTTATAGTAATTCTCTCTTTTTTTGTGTTGTCGAAAACTTGTATGAATTACGTGCAGTATTTCATTAAATGTTATTGTCACTATAAATTATTCATGAAACTTGCCATGCCACTGGAAATAAATATTATAGGGCCTTAATCTTTCTTACTTAAAAGGTTACCATGTTCTGCAGATTAAAGGCTAGTCTTCTGGAATGTTTTGATAGCAAGAACTCTAGCGTACTTTCAACTTGCTACGAGGAAATCTTAAAGAAGGATCCAACATGTAGCCAGTCATTAACAAGGCTCATCACCATGCATAGAAATGGTTTGTACTGGACCCTGAAACTTGAAGTTGGATATGGTTCTGACTTCTAGTAGTATAAAGGAAAATACCTATTTGTCAAGTTCTTTGGTGAATCGTGTACTGCTTAGGTCTTTTATATATAGCAACACTTATTTCTAGGGTTGCGAATGGATTGGATTGAATTTCAATGGGTGTATATCTGAATCTGATCTGATTCAGAATTTGATATGATTTTGAATGGATATGTAAAACATGGTTTCAAATTCAATTCACTTACATATCTGGATATACAATTTGAATCCTATTTGATTACAAATATCAGTAAATCTATAAAAATAGCATAAATTTATAAAATTAAATACAAAGCAAACAATATGCCTTGAATTGAAAAAAATAAGTTTATCTAAATCCCAAATCCAACTTAATTTGAAGGAACTTTAGTACTCAAAATAATATTTTATATATTGATATATAATCTGATTGGATCAAGCAATATCTGAATTTGGTCCGATTAATAAACGTACCATACTTTCACATCCGATTTGTCCCAGTTATGGCTAAATGGGTATCTGAATCCAACTTAAACTAATCAAGTTCAAATTCAAATTAGATTAAATCCAATCCATTTGCGGCCTTAAGTCCATAATTTTTCTTTTCTTTTTATTTGATTGCTAAGAATTTGTTTATCTTTGCGACAAAAATCTCTTGTGATGTTAGAAAGTTTAGTTATTTACTGATCAGGCTTTGATTTCTCAAGACAAATCAAAACTCACTGAAGATCAAACTTGTCTTTCCCAGTGTTTTAAAAGGCATATGCTTGGAGGCGTTGATTGAAACCATTACCATAGGAGGCAAACTTGTCTTTCATCACTATCACCTGTTAGCTTGGGTGCAAAAAGAAAGGAGTATAGAGGTGTTGATTGAAACCATTACCATAGGTGGGTGAGGACAGTGGAATTATTCTCAGACATTACATGTGATGACTCAGAAATTGGGGGCAGTTGCATTTTCTTCTTAAAAACTAAAAATTATTAAAGAGTGGACAAGCCCCGCCTCCTTGTAGAGGACGGGGGAAATAAAATTTTGATGGGAGCAGTATGGGCACCCTGATGCCATCTGGTGTTGGGGGGAGTAATAATAGATGAGAATGGAAGTATTCTTGCATCGCATTCAGGTCTGATACAATATGGCTCTTATGTCCAACAAAATGTGGAACTTTAATTCTCCATACCATGTAGCTCTTGTGTACTTCCACATTAATATGGATGTAGACTCATATTAGCCTCATGCATGCACTTAATAATCCTCAATATAATTAAATATTAGAAGATTTTACTGTAAACATAAGCCCAGATTATAGAAATTCTGAAACATCTTACAACAGTCCCATATTCATATTGAGAACTAAAGTTACTTAGCCTTGCTCTTGAGCCCTTCCCCCTGGCCTCCGTTGGATGATCTTTGGTCATTTATTAATGGCATTTGATGATGTTTGGAATTCCATTATGAAGATGGCCTACTAACAATATTTCTGAAAGATAAAAGCCTAGTTGAGGCAGATGAGCCTGGAGAAGGGAGCTTTAGGGTTTGACTATGCCTTTTTCCTCAAGATGAGATGCCTGCACCTTTATATGAGTCCTCAGAACATGTAAGTAGTTCTTAATCCTTTTAATACCATCTCTGGGAGACATCTTGGATTACCTAGTACAGAAATCTGCCCATATGGATGGTCATAACAAGTGAATAAATGGTGGTTTCTGATATTATTAGTAGAACAACCCAGATGCTAAGTCAGTTTAATTGGGCGTTAGTATCATTTGGTTAATCATCTCAGAAATTTTAATGTCCACTGCTTTTTGAGTATGCTAATCTTTGGTCGTTTTTAATAGGACAAAAGTGTTTTTCTTTGGTCATCTTGGGCTGTTGATGCTCTCTTTCTCCATTAAAATTTAAGCCCTCCAAAAAAATAAGAATATGGTGTTGAGGGCAGGGAGTATAAAGTGTTCCTCTGTAAATGGGAGAAAAATTTTCCCTTCATGCTTGCTGCAAAGCTGCATTCTGCAATTAACATGACTGATGTTACTAAAGGAACTGAATAGCAGCCATCCTTTTGCTTCACTATATAGCTTGTGAGACTACTAATGTAACCATACTGTGTTTTATTTTTCTTTCTTTCTTTCTTTTTTTTTTTTTTTTACTTTAGTTGCTTTTGTGTTTTTTATTCTTTGGTGAGTTGTGTGATTGTTGTATGAATTAATATTTTACCATGGAGCTTTGTTACATGGCATTCTCTTAACTCACTTGTTGAGTTGTTTCTGGTATTTACAGGGGATTATGGTCTTGAAACACTATTGGAGATGATAGCTTCACATATTGATGCAACCTTTCCAGGATGTGATGTATGGGGGGAACTTGCATCTTGTTTCCTTAACCTCTCACAATATGAAGAAGATCGTTTATCAATATGTGGGGAAAATGGTGGAGATAAGCAAGGGTATTCTGCTTCTGTCACTGTTATCCCTAGAGCATTTTTGGAGGGAAAGTCCAGAACATCGTGGAATCTACGTTGCAAATGGTGGTCAACACGCCACTTCAGTAAAAGCACCCTTATTTCCAAAATGCAATCTGGTACCTTCTTATGAACTGATATTTATGGTTCAATATGTGGTAGTGATAATGTTTTATTGATTTGATGTTTGTCTAATAACCTTTATTGTTTTTTTTAAATCCTTAATGATTTTTTTTTGAGAAATCTTAAACTCTTAATGAATTGATTGGATAATTTCAATTTTATTGACTTATTATATTCTTAATCAGATGTCAGATCACACGAGCAACCATATTTAAAAAATAAAAGAAAATGAAAAGCAACAACTATGACAATGGTGACAAGTTGAATAACACTTTATCAGCCACTCTTTACCAGTGAAGGTGGCCTTACCAATAGAGAAAATGTGTTAATTTTTAATTACAGATGTCTTAAACTCTATTTTGAGTAATTACTAGTGTACTATCTTTAGTAATTAAAAGGACCATCACCCATTGTTTGCCCTGGATAACAGGGGTGTTTGGAGGGTGGATTGTATATGGACCTAACTTTGGTATTTGTTTTTTTTGGTTGCAAAGTTGCTGCTCCAGACTCAAACGTCAAACCCACTTTCTTACATTTGTCAGTATGAGATTTTACTATAAGACCAAGTAATTGACCCTTTTTCCATACAGTAATTGCATATTATAATATTTAGAATATCATGATTTATACTATTAGTACGGACATTATTATCTATTAGTGGTTTCAATTTTTATAGTTATTGGTAATTGTTATGTTGTTACTTACATGTTAAGCCTTATCCTCAAGTAAAAAGCTATGTAGAACATGTGAATCAGCAACAGATCACTAACAGATGAACTGGCAATGAACACTAACATTCTGGTTGAGATCTTTTGGAAAGAAGAAAGTTCAGCATACTAAACCACTTAAAAATAAGAAGCCTTGAATGCAAAAGATTCTAGAACCATCCTTGATTCGAGCAGGAAAGGCCCAGTTCTGATTTTCCCATCATGAGCTGGCTGGTTTTGGTGGTTTTTGGTTCATTGATTCTTCTGACAAAACATCTAGATGATCCTGCTATTAAATTGAGCTAGGATCTGGCTACTATATTGCACTAGATTTTCAACTCTGATTCCTTTATACGTACATATACCCCAACCAGTCAGCCACAGCCTGTAGCCATTTCAGAATTTCTACCAGAGGTTTCATTCTTCTTTGTTTATTAAATTTCCTTTCTTTTCAATGTTCTACAAGCAATGTAGTTCATGCCATAACTAGGATTACTTGTCCACGTCATGTTGATGTTCAATATTGCTCTAAGGTTTGTCAATTTTAGCATTAGACCATGAATATCTATCTATTCACATTCCTTCATAGTAAACTAATGGACCTTTTTCTTTTGATTGAAACAGATGAGTTGCAGCTCATAATGTTCAAGGCAGCCTGTGCATCTCACCTCTATGGACCCAAATTTGAATATGTTGTCAGTGTTTATACTTGTTTAGACAAGGAAGAAAACAAGGGCAGAGTGTTGTTCTTGCAAAAGCACATGATGAATTCATTCAATCTCCATGAAAATTTGAAAAGAGCAAATTGAATGCTGGAACTGCTTTTCTCTACAAATGAAGGATTTCTACCATTATTAATAAATACGACTAGGTGTTAGCGAAGAGTTTCTGACAATGATTTCTAGAAGGGAATGAGTCAATTATCTAGGGAATGAGTCAATTTATCTGGTTGTCTTACCGGACATTGACATGCAACACACGAATGAATGCGCGCACGAAGGCTTCCTCACAAAGTTGTCCAAGAGACGGAAGGATAGGGAGAAATCCATCTGTAAAAAGGATTTCATTCAAAATCCAAAGAAACAAAGTATCAGTTTTTAAAGAGTACATATGCAAGTATGTACAAGTACATGCAAAATAATACAAAATACGAAATACAGATGCAGTGTTTGGTTGCAGTGCAATTTTATTTGCACTAGTACAAATTCATGGGAATGCAAATGAATAGATTGTAAATTCTGTTTTAATTTTGTTTTGGGTTTTACTTTATTTTATTGGGAGAATGACGGTTCAGCCCAGGGTCAGAATTTTTAGGCCCAAAGTACAGTTGGAGTAGGTGCCAGTTTGGAATTGATGCCAATTCATGAACGGACATTGATGCATAGAGTAGGGGTATTTGACATTTTGAATGTTTATAGGTCTGCAGTGGAATTCAGAAAACTACAATGGGACTGTAATTTTCTGTATTTTAATTTCAATGCAAATAACAACCAAACACAGCCAAAGGACCAAACAGCAGTTGCAACACACGACACCAACCAACATTAACCTAACGATGGTAGATCTTTCTTGACCAAGTCATTGGTTCATGGCTGGTGGGCCTGCAGTTTAACGTCGTATTCAATCTACATCTAAAAGGGGAAGGTGGCTAATCTCTGAGTCTGATGGATGGGTCAGCGTTGATTGGTGATCTCTTCGATAGGCCATGAATCACTTGCACATCTAAATTTGTAGCCATCACATCTAACCATTATATCTAGTTTGGGGTGCTGATGTAGTCGTTTTGGTACATCTGGAGGTGGGCCAGGATTCAAAACCTTAATCAAGCCCATCCATCCATCACCTACCTGCAATTGATCCAATGTAAGAGTCACAAGTTTTCAAGCATTGGAGGTAATATCACTTGGCAAACTCGGTGAGGACTCTGACTGAGCTAGTAGGTCCTCGTAACTAGGGATGCAAATGAATTGGATCGGATTTGAATCGGGGTATATTCGAATCTGATTTGACACTATTAATTGTAGACCCATTTTGATATAAAAATCGATCGGATCTCATAAACATGGATTTGAATTCGAATATGATGAGATAGTTGAATCTGATCCAATCTGATTTGATTAAAAAAATAAATAAATTATAAAAAAATAAAACCACAATTTAATTAAAGAAAAACAAAAAATATAAATATCTTTTCAACTATTTTGATCATATATATACATATTTTTTTATAAAAAATAAATAATATAACAAATTTACAAAAATGCAATGTAAATCATATGTTTATAAATAAATCAATAACATATACGTGTTATATAATTTTATAAATAGATAACATATATATCGGATTGGATAATGGTAGTCCAAACTTGATCTGATTTCTGATTGGATTCTGATTCAAAAAATGAAATGGAGCTATTTAAATCCGAGAATATAGAACGGGACTTCGGTTGATCCGATCCATTTTTACCCCTACCCGTAACCAATGTTTTAGCCCAAAAGTCAGAACGTACCCAGAAAGCTGGACAAGAGGCAAGTTTTCTAATTCAACCGGGTGGTTAGCCTATTGACCAAATCAAATAAATAAAAGGATGCAGTCAGATGTATGATAATCGGCTAGTTCAACTACCTGCCTGGATCAATGACGGTATGGAATTTCAAACACTGCCCATGTATAAACAGAGATGTAGTTCGAGTAGTATCTAGGAAATTCTCTGGAACCAACCCAAAAATACCGAGTTCGAAGAGGTCGGATGACTCAGGTCAACTCAGCTATAGTGCACACTAGTGGACCCATAAGAAAGTCCATGTAAACAGTCGGAAATTGGAATTTCCCATTGTCAGGAACTTTTGACTCGGTTCTCTTATTGAAAGTTGAAACAAATTTAGATTCTCGACCCTAATTTTTTTTGGGTTAAATTAAAAGATCCTCAATACTAGGGGTCACTGACATATGTCCCTGTATTTTCATTTGAGACAAAGACAAAGACCCTTAATTGGTAAATCAGATGATGAAAGGCGTTAAATTACCAAAATGCCCTCTTAATCATTTAAAGGACACGAAATGACATTTTCAAAATGACGAAAATGGGCAAAGCCATTCCCCCTTTTGTCTATTCCTTGCCCATTCTCCCATTTTCTCCTAAATCCTAACCTACACTAACTTACCGTTGGAGAACCATTTGACGAGAACTCTACATCACTCTTTGCCCAAGTTGTTGCCACTATCACATCGGTATGAGTTGGTGGATGCATCATCATCAGATATAGAAAAGTTCTGGCGATATTAAAAAAAGCATTCACATCTTTTATGCCATGTCAGAGAAGAAGATATTGTTATCGTCGTCATCGGAGAAGAACCTATTAAACTATATGAGAACCAACATTTTTAGAAATTGTTGGGTTATTAAAGTGTAAATGAAAGGGATAAAATTGTCCAAGCAAATGGTAAAAAGGCTAGTTTTGGGATTTAAAAATCTTTAAACAGCCAAAAAAGAATCTTTTCTAAAATTCACACAGACCCTAACGAGGTCTTTGTGGCAAGATAAAAATTCTAAGGGGTCACTCTTGCAAATGAAAGTACATGGGATATTTGTCACTAATCCCATTATATATAGGTGGTCTTTGTAATTTATCCAAAATTTTAACTGAAAATGATTTCAAATCAAATATCTTCATTACTTCCATGTTTAGTTTATATTTCTTCTTCTTCCTTGAACTTGTTTTCTCCTGCAGTACTCGGTCTACAGGGCTGACATGGTGAGTCTAGACCATGGGCGGAGCCAAGTTTATTGGTGGGGGATCTTTGGCCTCCCAAAACTAATATTTATATAGTTATTAAGTAGATACAAGGTCAAAAATGTAATAAAGTGGGTCCTTGCCTCCCCCCCCCCCACACACACACACCAAAAAAAAACAAAAAAGAAAAGAATGTAAAACTGAACCTTCTCACCCCGTATCCCTCCACACCCTACCTCTTCTACTCCTTATTTTCTTGTTTAAGTTGGCCCTTCCAAGAGATAACTTCTGGCTCTGTCACTGGTCTAGAGTCTAGACCATGTTGATGTGAAGGGATCTGAATGTGCCACATCATTCCTCCATTCCACATGGCAGAAATAAGCAAGACCATCTAAGAAAAGTGAGTAGGAAAACCCGTTTGAAACAACTTAACCAAGGTGCAAGGGACCTATATTTCTTCATTATTTTCAGAAATTTAAAAACATTAAAACATCATCAAAATAAAGAGAAACATTAATTCGATGGAAGAGAAACCCAATAAACCCATCTCCATTTTGACTTTTGAGCAAAGCTTTTCCACCGACGACATCTAACCGTCTGAGCAAAGGTTGTCTGTTTCTGAAACTGGGTTGATCAGCTAAGAACACAACATAGATCTACATCAGCCTATACTTGCAAAATCTTATTATGATCAGAAACTGAGATACCCATCGCTTTACATATATCTCAATTCAAAAGCCACTTACAGGAATCATGTGGGTTTGATTTCTCTTTATCTTAAGATTGTTGTATCGATGAAGCCAGCAACGTGGGTTTCTTGAATTGGATTTGGTTTAATTTCGGGAAGTTCAATGGATGAGACACGATTTAAAGCACTCATAGAAGTTCTGATATTCACCTGGAGAACACATTTTCCCTCCCCATCTTAAAGTTAACAAAAATGTACGACTTCCTCAGCTGTAATTGGTATTTCTTTCCTTCTGTTGTCATACACCAATGTTAATGCAATAAGCGAGAGCATTATGATGGCAAAGACCCAGGCCTTGAGGATGGTCTTGGGGAGGCCTTTCATCTCTAGACTCCCTCCTTTAGGCCCTAACTTCAGCTGTATTGATGCGTCCTGCTGTTGTTCTTGTTGTTGGTGATGTTCATCAGTATTCTGGCCCCCAAGCTTATACCAGCAGGAACTCCATATTCCTTGTGGCTTTATGCGATAACTGGATTCTTGAACAGGAGATTGAAACTTGGCCATGGATGATTCATCAGCCAAGGATGAGACTGAAACTTGGATGGGAGTGCGGTATCCATCTTTCACCAGGACCAAGATTTCCCATTGATTAATTTCTTCATTCTTCTTGCAACATAGGGGGAACAAGAAAGTTAGGATGAGTATAATAAGATTCATGCCTACAGTACAAGTTGAAGTTGGTATATCTGCAAGCAAAAAACTTTTGATGAGAAAGTTGAGGGAAGCAATGGACGGAGTTCTGAACTACTGTTTTAGCCATTATTCCGAACCCCTCCTATATATAATATATAGAGTGGGATTAAGAGAAATACCATATGATGACAGAAATGTAGACCTAATATCATTCGTCGACTCTTGTAAAAATAACGGAAGGAATCAACAATTATAGGCCCCGTTTGGTTCGCGGGAATAGGGATTTGGAATGGGTTATTTTGATTCTAACTGTTTCGTTGGGTGGAATTGGAATTCAATTCTCATTCTTGCTGAAATTGGAATGACATTCCTCTATTTGAGGGAATGACCGTTTCTTGTGGGGATGGCAATTTTGTGGGAATTTTCGGGTATCTGACCTGTACCGACCTTAATAGGATTTGTTTATCAAAACCTTATAGGGTTTGGATTTTGACTTTAGGGTATCCAATACACAATACCTGGGATGCATAAATATGAATCTATTATATTATATATCATGCACAAATTTATAAATTTTAAGCATTAAGATAATTATCCAATTATTAATATTTTATTTGTATAAATTTCTTGGGATTAAAATCAACATTTGATGTGTAGATTTGGATTTGATAGATTGTTTATTTTATTTAGTTATATAATGCTAATTTTAAATATTATTTCGTTTAATTTTTAGTTGGAATTGTTAATC